GTTGTGTTTTCTTTCTTCTCGTTTCAGCATGGAATAAACCTATCACTTGTTCAGATTCAGAAGCAGACTGCTTTTAGTACAGGTGTATGTTACTGGCCAGCACTAACGAGTTTCTAGCTGCTCTTACTCAGAACTGTACTGGTGTAAATCAAACAGCTTCACCTGCCCCTCCTAGGAATATAAATGTCAGCTTTCTGGAGGAGCATCTGCATCAGGCCCTACACTGATGTATGAGGCAGGACTACAAGATCTGGCAGCATTGGTGTTTTCTACTAGGTGTTGTGCCTAGCTGCTTATTTTAATATGCCAGCTCTCCTTTACCTCCACAGAGTCATCTGTCTCTGGTGTGTGAGGCCCCTCACTGTCGTAACTGTCCAGATTGACCATCTCTGTAAGGGAGAGAGAGAGAGACCGTCAGAGTAAACATGTCCTTGTCACCACTGCACTGAGGCAAAGAAAGGAGGCAGGAACAGGAATCTGGCTTTTTCAATAACCTCTAAGTTCAAAACACCTATGGGTAGAACTCATGCCCACCCCCATCTATTCACAGGCATGTAGGAAGGGGCAAATTTGAAATGCCAATTAACTGTGTCTTTGGACAGTGGGAGGAAACTGGATCATTTGTAGAAAATGCATGCAGCCACAAGGAGAACATGCAGACTCACTTCATATAATTGCATGTAAACCTTCATGTAAATTCCATTCCAGGGTAAATGTGCATGGTATTTCTGATAGGTGTTACCATGATTTTACTGTCTTTATGGGTTTCTCATCATCTGTCATGCTTTATGTCATCCTTATCCTTTGTCATGATTGCTCCAGGTGTTACTGCATGTTAACTATGACATACCAGTTAGCATTCAATAGTGCTAAATAGCATAGAGATAAGGCATTCAAAGGGACAGGAGCAGCAGGACATTTATTTGCCCATGTGAATGTGTCTGCGGCCTCTCCCTCCCTCACCCTCCAGTGGGTCCCTGGTCAGGCCCAGCTGGCTGATGATGTAGCGCGGGATGTCCGTCTTCACCAGGTGCCCCTCCTTGGCGTGGTCCTCTGCCGCCTCCAGCAGGTGGTAGAACTCCTCCGGGTTGAACTCCTGCTCAGAAACAGCATGACACAACAAAAGTGACACATGGGCGACTTGTGGGGACGACATACAGCGTGACACAGACCCGCAGAGTGGCCACGATCACAGAAAGGGGGACGGATTACAGTGTGACAAGCAATCCTGTTGGGGGACCAGCAGGGGATGATAAGATAATGTGTGGCCAACAAGACACACCACGATCCCCTAAGGGGGACTAATTACACACTAATTACAGTGTGACATGCTGAGCAAACCAAAATCCTTCTGGAGGACCAGTCACCGTTTGACGTAGAAAGTCATACATGATCTGAAACAGAGGACAACAATTGGTGCAACACACAAAGAAATTAGCAATTCATGAGAATTAGACACATTATGACATCACAATGCCTTGAATCTTAAATTAAGAGCAGAACACAGGTCTGACTACAGCAGTACAGCGCATGTGCTTCTACTGGCAAGACTGGAGGAAACAGGCAGGAGCAATCTCCCAACACAAAGTCGGACCCCTCCTAGTAGGGACTGTGTCAAGGGTGCAGACACACTGTCCCTGTGGACTGCTTGCTTCTGAGTCCTGAGTTTGTGTAGGCAGCCTGATCAACATTCTCCTCTAGCCCCAAGCCTGCCCCATCAGCCCCTGTGAGTCAGGTGGCAAGCTCGTAACAACGTCGGCCAGGTCTGGCACACAGCCACCCAGCCATCCCTCATGAAAGGTGGCACCTTTATCTAGAATTTCCTGACCTCTGCGCCCTCGTTGCATCAGCACCAGCCTGTCACCATGGTGACCATGGAAGTGTGTGGGGGATGTGGGGAGTGACGAGGAGATAAGGGAACGCTAGCTGGCATCTTATCTTGGATCACTAGGGGTCTAACACAAGATAAACTCCTGTCACCACGGTTTGAATGAGCGTCCTAGTTTGCCTGCCCATACTATAGAGATTCTGAATAAAGATTACACCACTCCTTCGTGGAACAATTTATCTGAATGAACGCTTTCCTCACAACAAGAAACAGGCAAAGGTACAATCGCACCAAAATACCTATTTGAGCAAATGTACACAGTATTCAAAAATGTTAACAGTTTTTGTGTAGCTCCCAGGCACTTTGTATACCACACTGAACACATCTAATAATTTCAGGCCTTTATGGCCTGAAGTTTTGGTGTTCAAAGTGGTGAGAAGTGCTCTTGTACAGTACTGTAGGAAAGCTTCCTTTGATAGCAAAATATCTCAAAACAGTTGTATAACAATATTTACACACAGTGGGGCTTGGTAATCTTGGCAGGTCTTCTGCATATATGAATACACTTATGTTGAAGATGCTGAGGTTATTATTTTGTCAGATGATTGTTTTATACATTATGTGCATACATTGTTTTACATGAAATTAGCAGTTTTTTTATTATCTCGCAAGGCTGAGTGAGACACATTTACAAAATAATGATTCAGCTCCAGTGACTCAATATTTCAATTACAAATAAACTTCTTATTTTTGTGTGGTGAAACTCTGAATAGCTGTTTCACCACTCATAAATAAAAGCAGAGGAGAACTTTGCAGAGTTTGCAACTTTAATGACAGCCCATCTTTTAAGCAGCGTGCACTTCACCTCTGGCTTTTTGAGAGATGAGTTCTGGCTGGTGTCCACCTCAATTCTGCAGTGTCATGTCTTTAGATATGACTCTGCAGTCCCACCAGGCCAGATGCCCAGAATCAGAGCTCCCAGATAAATTCCTCTGCTGGGAAATTCAAGTCTTGTCAGGCTGTCCAGGGTCAACTTGAGAGAGACCCTTGACTAAAATTCAGTTGCAAGGGATGCTCTCACTCACAATGGAACCAGAATGCACCAGTGAGACCTCTGATCACCTGTCAATCTGTAGAGAACATCCACAGCAGTTCAATAACAGCACGTCTTCCTCACTCCTAATGCTGTTATCTTGTCCTGCACATATTCTTCAGCGTGTGAAGGCCAGTCGATAAATTGCCCAACACCGCCATTGATTCCCACTTGCTTTGATTAAATTAGGCCTTAATTAAAACCCTGCACTGTCGTCAACAAAACTTCTTCTGATAATATGAAATGTAACACCTCCATAAATATAACTTCAATTTAATACCACAATCACTAAATTATCACCATCTATTTTGATATACAAGAATTTCATTAACAGAATAAGAATACAGTTTTTAGACAGCTTAGAGGTGGAAAAATTCTATGAATAAGATTAGATTTATGGTAAACTTCAAGAGGGGCAACTCCTAGTTGTCAGAATTATGTCCAAAAGATTATGACTGCATTTTGAGGGGTTCAGTCATGATCCCACAGACGGCAGCTTGGGACCACCAAGCACAGACACCCATTGTCTGAGCCTGTGGTTCCTGTCGTACTGCGCAGGATCACCACGGCAACAGCACAACCTCAGCAGGGCGAATCAAGCTGGCCTCATGGGAACAGGAAGTTCCAACATCCAGCGATCATACAGTGATGTCGCTTCAAGCGCTTGTGATTGGCCGGTGCCATTCCCACTCACCAGGCACTCCAGCAACCTGGCTGGCCGGGAGATGATGATGAGGAGTTTCTTCACCAGCTGTGTGACGAAGGCCACCTCGGAACTCTCCGACCGCTCGAAGGCCTGCCGAGGATGAGAAAACGAAGGAAGTGACGGCGGGAGTGGACCTCTGATGCCTCAGGGGTGTGTGTTTTTACAAGTCCGGTTTGTCCTTTGCACAAATGGCTGCTGCTATATTGTTTCAAGCAGTGTTAGTAAAGGAATTATCACTGCATTTTGCAGCCTCATTCAGGTACAGCATGCTGTAAACAACGTGCTGTAAAGTGGAAGAGAAGACAGTCCCTGGAGTGTTGCATTCTGACACGGAGATGGATTGGATTAAACATAAGGTCTGTGAAGAGGATAATATTACATCTGAGAGATAAAATACACAGAGCACAGGATTATAGCCAAACCATGGCCAGGCAGAGCTTACAAACTTCACAAGGGCCTTTAAAACAGGGGTCCCCAGTACTGGTGCTGGGGACCCCCTCCCCTGCTACTCTCACTGCAGCTGAGCTGTTTACTGAAATGAATCCTTCATTGAACCTAACAAGTCGGTTAGTTGGAATCTTTGCAATTTATTTTTCTACTCAGGTGCTAGGTTACTTGAGAAATGCACCAGTTAAAAGGCAGCCTCCAACAGGATTAGATACTAAAACAGAAGAAATTGGAATTGTGTCTATCATTAGGTATTTAGATATATCATTAGGCATATCAGAAATGGATCAAAATCCAGCAGATGTGGGGTCCCCAGGACCAGGATGGGGCACCCCTGCTTGAAAAGGCTTAGCCCACAGAAAAGATATGGGACAATTCAGGGGTATCTGGGGGACAGCGTAGGAGAGCCTTGCAAATTGCTAAGGTCAGCTTCTGAGGGTTTCAGTCTTAAGCGGAGAGCGTTCAATCTGACTGACGCACTGACTTGCGCTCTGTCCGTGGCTTTCTTGGAAGGGGTGGGGATGTGGGTTCTTCACTCACATCTTGCAGGAGTTTATCCAGGTTTTCCTGCAGCTCGAGGAAGTAGACGGTGGTGATGACGCCTTCCTGAGATTTGGTCAGGCAGTCCCGGGACAGCTCCACGATCTGGTGGTGGATGAAGCTGAGGACCCCGTCAGCCAGGGGCAGCACATTCTCAGGGGAGAAAGCGGTGATGAACTCCGAGAGGCGCTCTTCCATCTGGGCCGTGGCCTGAGAAACAGAAACAGATAGATGTCCCATGTTATGACCATACTTTTACCACCCACCGCCATTGCACCATCCTCTCTTTCATTAAAATAATTTGACTGTACTTTACAGTCCTTTCATCAAGGTGTACCACATTCCCATAAGGGCAGAGCCAAGAAGATGGCATGAAAAATCTGGGGGTATCAAAAATCACAATCAAGAAATGCATCCCATTAAATTTTCTGATGATTATTGTTTTTGTAGTTGTAATATCGTTGCCTAATGACCCCTTGTTTGGCTCTGAAATTCTCAATAGGAAGGATATGGAATACAATATGCAGGTGGTTCAAAAGTTATTGATAGAAAGGATGAGGAAATATACCTGAAAGAAATGAAATGGCATGCTTAATTAAAAAAATGGCTGTGAGGGAGTTAGGTTGAGACAAGATGAAGACTCATTTCTGAACTACATTCCCCAGAAAGCCATGGGGATCGATGTTCCTTCCACAGTCATCTGACCAGTTAGTATAAGCATTCTGGGGAATGTAGTTCAAACAAGAGACTCCATCTTGTCTGAACCACTACTGTCCTCTTAATGGCACTATGCAAGTGTCTGACTGTCTCACCTTGGGAAAGCGCTCCTTGTACACATGGTTCATCATGACAATCTCATTGTCGTAGCAGGATGGGGAGCGCCCCGGGCTAGAACACAGGACACATGGGTCAGGGTAGAGCCCCAACACAGGCATGAGAAGAATTACAGAGCCCTGATGTCCACCTGGACCAACTTCAGAAAACAGGGGGTCCCAGAGTGGGAGGTACCTGAGGCTCCGAGAGCGGGGCCGCACGGCTGGCGACCTCCGACCCCCGTCGTCATCAGTGATGCTCTCGGTGCTGCCGAAGTGCTTGGACAGGAAGTGGAGCTCGTCCATTGTGGGCTGGAAGGGCAGCTGGTGGAGCCGCTCTTGCGAGGAACTGGAGGACTGGAGATGCACAGAGATGCGGAGTGAGACAACGCACTGCCCCTGTCGCCCCCCAGTCCCCGCCCCCAACCCCCTCCGTCTCTCTACAGATTTGGCCGGATGTGAAGATGCAACCTAAAGTCTGCTCACTGTACAATTACCTGACGCTCACCAGCTTCCTTTCACCCATCCATTTTCTAACCCCTTCTTCCAATGCAGGGTTACAGGGGAGCCGGAGCCTATCCCAGCAAGCAACAGGCACAAGGTGGAGTAAACCCAGGATGGGACACTAGTCCATCACAGGGCAGCCACAGAGCAAACACAAACACACACAGACTCATACTGGGGCCAATTTTCCCAGAAGCTATTTAATCTACCAGTACTGTATGTCTTTTGATTGTGGGAGGAAACTGGAGAATCTAGAGGAAACTCACAAGGACACATGGAGAACATACAGACTCCACACAGAGAGCACCTGAGGCTTGAACTGAACCCGGGGCTCCAGCACTGTGAGGCAGCAATGCTCACCACTGTGCCACAGTGCTACTACAATCACCACAGTGTATTCCTACATACACAGGTATGCATTACTACAGACCATCGTGTATTCACATTGTGAAGAGGTGTTAGTGGGGCCAGCAGGGGGCGCTCACCCTGCGGTCCATGTGGGTCCTAATGCCCCAGTATAGCGACGGGGACAGTATACTGTAAACAGGCGCTGTCCTTCTCATGAGACATAAAACCGAGGTCCTGACTCTCTGTGGTCATTAAAAATGCCAGGGCGTTTCTCTAAAAGAGTAGGGGTGTAACCTGGCCAAATTTCCCATTGGCCCTTACCAATCATGGCCTCCTAATAATCCCCCTCTGTGAATTGGCTACATTACTCTGCTCTCCTCCCCACTGATAGCTGGTGTGTGGTGAGCGTTCGAGACTTATATTTCATTTCCATGGACAAGGTTGAAGGTGTCTTTCCTGAACTGCTGTTCATCATAAAAATAGAGAGCCCACTGGGACTGAGGGCTCATTGTGATCTTTGAGCTGATCTCTAAACACATGCTTAACTCTCTCCCTAAACAGCTCAGCTTTGCGCAGTCTTTTGAGGGTTTCTGAAAACCGAAAAGCACAAGGCTCACAGGAAGGAGCCTGAAAGCTTTGTTTCGTTGCCACAACTACTAATGGGAGTCAAGATTTTAATGATCCGGCTTTGGGGGTGGGAACTCTCCATAGCTCGCACAAGCGCCAGCCGTTAAGAGGGTAGCCCTTGATTCCCACAACCGCTAAGCTCTCCATTGATCGTTATCTACAAACAATTAAACAATGAAAGGGTGGAAAAACATTGCCTGCCAGGAGCAGAGCAGAGCGCAAGTAGCTCTGTTGCCTGTTCCCCCTCTTCTCTCAGCACAGTCCGGTGAGGGGTAGACACTGCACACTTTAGATTCTGTTCATGGCGCTGGCCCAGTGGGACTGCATGATCCGGGATCACTGACATCAGTCCAACGACACGCAAACTCTGCCCAAAGTGCTCTGAACAGCTACACAGGGACACCAGTCGGGGCCTGATGGCACAGCTCTCACATGGGCTGTGCCAGCTTACATACATGCTTCCTTGGGGACACCCTCCTCATCTTTCATATGATCAATAAAGGTCTTTTTAACAGCCTTGCTAATTGGAATGTACAGGCAATTTCGTGATACACTGTGAGCGATGACAAGACAAAAAATATATTTTTTTGGATTCAATCTTTTTCACTTATTTGTGTTATCTCCATCTCTATTAAGGGCCGGTATCATGTGTGTACAGAACCTGTTGCTCTTCACGGCAGGGCAGCCTGTGGCAATGCAAAACCCCAGGATTTATCGCTGGTGCAACCATTTGCACTTGCCAACATGATCTCTGCTCTTTGATTGAATAACTTTCTCTGTGTATCAGTGAATGCTTCAGTGATTTAAGTTCATTTCTAAGACTTTAATTGGGAAAATGCCTTTGTGTTTGTATAATCTATTGCATTTCTGCTCTGTCCCCACAGAGAATTGATCATGACCTCTCATGGGCATTTCAGGAGCCACACAGCTGCACACCAGAAGACACTAGGTCTCCCACCATGAGAGAATTCTGGGCTATCAAGATTCCAAAGGGGTGACATCACATTTCCCAGCACCACCGAAGTTTCAGTGAGGTGACGTCACCTTCTGTATCCCAGCACCACCAAACCTCCAAACGGGTGACATCACCAACTGTATCAGACCCACCACTGCTGAGCCCTGTTACGCTATTTTATGACATCAGATATCACACTTATCAAGACCAAAACCTTCCAAGAGGAGCTATATTTTTCAGACACATGTGCAGAGTAACCTGAAACTCTTCACCTGTGCATTGTTGTATGGTTAAATAACTCCTGGATCACTTGTTAATACTACCATAACCTATGACGTTGTTTAAAGTTTAAACTGTTTGCTACTTTCGATCATTCATTGCTCTGTTTTTTTGCTCTGCCTTGGGAGAGCCCCTGTAATCGAGATTAAACAGTGCTCGGAATTATGTGATCTATGCAAATTAAATTGCTATGACCCATTTCTTCCCTGACGGGTGTTTCTCAGTAGAGTTTCTCATCATGGCCTGAAGCCCGTTTCAGCAGTCAAGCCACAGCTCCTCCACAACGATGAGGTCTAATAAGAGAAATGGCTGACAACAGCAATGTGAAGCAGAAACCCTGCTTCTAATACTGAAATGTGTCAACTTGAATTGCATGGAAACCCCATAGTTCACCATTTCCTTTTACACACTGGAAGGGTGGGGACAGAAGGCCAAGGTGGGTAAAAGAAACAGGATTCACGTCCTGTCCTCGCTGATGCAGCCGACACAGGATCACAGTACTGCAGGGATTACTTTGCAGCACTACGGCAAAGGTGGCATCTCCCTGCCTGCTCATAGGATACATCTTGGATTGGGGTCCACAGTCTTCCTACTGTTGCTTAGCAACTACCTATATCAGTACATGAGCCAGATGCAGTATATAACAGCATGCACTAGAGGTCACAAGCCAGCGAGCACGGATGGGATTCTGGAAGGAGCCAGACAAAAAGCATTGCTGATGGCCGCTAATGGCTCTGATCTCTGCTCTCTGGCGATTATTCCTCCACTCTCTCTGCCCTTCCTGATCAGGGTGCCTGGGGGCAGGGGAGGGGAAGAGCCGACGGGAGCTGTTCGCGGTGCTGAAAGAGTCGCCGCACCTGTGCTGAGTGACCTCTGCAGGCTCCGGTCCAGCCTTTAGTCTTCCAGAGCTGCGGCAAGAAGGGAGCCCTGTGCTCTGCATGCCACCCACTGCTTCATGAGCACGGAAAGCATTTCATGTTTTAGTTTTAAACGGCACAACGCCTGAGCCCTGCCCATATCACACAAAGCATCTGCTGACACATTGTGCGTAGCTAGTGCAAAAGGCAGACATCGCTTAGCCTTAAATTCAAGGTTTCTGCTTTGAATCCTCCCAGAAATCTGAAAACCAATCACACCACAATCTTATATGATGAGTTAAATTGTACCAAACAATATGCCTGCAAACAGTGCCAAGTACACTGGCAGTTGTTCAGCAGAGATTATGTTCAGGGATACGTGATTCAGTGCAAGATATGGTACGTTTCTCAGCCATGGGCAGCTTTCGTTTTTGCAGAGTCCGATTCACTGGGATTGGCTATTGTGTCACACCAGAAATGGAGAGTGCTGGCCAGGTAGGACAAGTGTGGATGCTGCCTGGAGAGGTAAAGTGTAAGTGGAGTGCCTGCAAAGTTACAGGGGGCTGAGAGGGGGGCCAGTGTGTGAAGGTGCTGGACAAACTCACAGATACCGTTGAACTAGGTGTGTTGGTCCCATATCCTGATGAAGGCAGGGAGGCCAGAGACCAGCGTCGCCCGTCCGCTCTGCAAATGAAAAAAGGTGGCAGCTTATACCCTTCTGCCTGGGGGGTGAGTGCATACAGACATCTATCAGCAGAAAATACCACTAGGTCTGCACATCCAGACAGCAACAAACGCTTATCCAGACAGCAACAAACGCTTAGGACTAATCTACCTCCCTCCGTCATGGCTGACCCAGCACTCTCTTCTGCTTCATATATATACATGTGTTTTTTTTGTCACAATTATTTCGTTTTTACTCCTTACACTTTGGATCTGCTTACTAATGCTCCGTTGTCGTTTGCCAATTGTCCTGCAGACTAGACTTCCTATTTCACCACAAGGAAGCGAGAGGGGGAAGGTCGCACAGGGCTCTGAGTCACTCAGACTGGTTGGAAGCAACTATTTTTTTTGCCCTTTCAGATAAATTAGGAGGGCAGATGATCAGCAAGGCGGATACAAGGAGACATATGATTGTCCTAGAATCAATCACCAGAAGATACTCACAAAAAAGAAAAAAACAAAACAAAACCATATGACAGGAAAAAGCCAGCAACAGAATCTACTCCTTCAAAGTTAAAAGATGCACAAGAAATCACAGAAACGCCAGTACCTGGATTCACACGATACCACAATGACCAGAAATCATATGAGGAGCAACACAGCCACAAGTCATTTTCTTTTTTTTTCTTTCTTTTCCTTTCCTACTCTGTTACAAATCAACTGACTACTTCAACAGCAAGAAACACCAGGGTTACCTGTCAGTTCTGTGCCCGTGGCTGCACAGGGGAGAGATGAATTAGATTAATACCACAGAAATGCCACAGCGCACACGCACAGAGGCCGGGATCAGGGGACAGAAAAAGAATGAAAGTCTACAGGCTGGTAAACACAGAACTGTGATAAGGAGGGTTTTGTTCGCTAGAGATCCATAAAATGATTTTTAGATCACATGAACGGGGGTATCCCTGGAAGGAGCTGGAAGGACTGTGGGGTGCTGAACCCCCAAAGTTAAACATCAGTAGCACTCAGTCAGCACTCTGAGTGTTGAAATGAAAGAAACGTAATTCACCTGGCGAGAAAGAAAATAAGACTCCTTGGGATGAATTTCTTTAGATCCTACAAAATAAGTAAACGTACATTTTAAGTTAAATGGCCATTTTACTAAAAGTGCATGATCTGGAGTAACCTGAGGAACTATGTGCAGAAGAGAAATTGCTCTCCCCCACGCAGGAATATTCACCTTCTTCCAACTAAACCAAATCTGAACGATAAAACATTTGTTTGGGGACACTCTATCGTTCACAGTCCTGGCTCAGAGTCCCAGAATATCTGGGCTGATAGTTTGCTGGTACTTTCACTGTAGATGGGACCCAGGCATGACTGATCCTGGGCTGCTGGTACTTTCACTGTAGATGGGACCCAGGCATGACTGATCCTGGGCTGAAGGGCTCTCTGTTTTTTTAACAAGTATCTGATTGTTTTTTAATCCAGCACAAATACCCGCCACATCAGTTTAACGTTAAAGTAATGTTACAGGACAGGTAGATTGTTGGTACGGTGTATTATCCAGGAATAATTAAGAATTAATAAAGAAAAACACAGACTTCCAATCCCCCATCTCTGCACTCGCTAAATGGAGTAAAACTAAAAGAGAAAGAGACAGAAGACACAAAAAAGAGCACAATAAAAACTCATTACACTAACAGCCTGTAGGAAGCAAGAAAACGGGGAAGGCCAGTCTTAACAGGTATCACCTGTAGCCAGTTAGCGCCAGATTAAGGTCTTGGGTGTAGAAGGGAGGCTCTGAGTCTCAAAATAGTGCAGAAATTGTTTAAAAAGCTTTAAAAACGTAATAGTCGAGCCGCTGAGTGTGTATCTAATTTTCACCAACTTAAGAGGCTGCATCATGCATCTGATCCATTGAACGAGTGTGGGTGGCAGCTTGCTTGCAGTTCAAGAGAATGAGGCGCCTTACTAGAAGAGGAGTAAAAACCAGGCCGTCAGGCTGCATTTTGTGTCCCTGTTTTTTTTGCAAAAAGTCTGTGAGATCGCACACAAATGTTTTGTGAAAACCAAGTCAGAAAGTCGAGCAAACCTATTTCTAGTCCTAGTTGCCTGTCGCAGTGTGGAAATTGGACATGGACTTGGAGGGCAGCTCTGAGAAACATTGAGCACTGGAAACAGCAATTTGCTATAGAATTTGCGTGCTTGGGAGGGAGGGGAGAAGCTTTCACTTAAATGTTAAACTCAAGCCTTATAAGGATTTCTGTGTGGATTTTGCATTTTTTATCTATGACATTTCACACTACAAATGTCAGCTTGGCATACCCTAGTAACGTGTGGGCACACAAGCCAGAGTTACAATTCGATGCAATTTTATTTGAATAGGATCCTTCAGAGTCTAGAGTCGTAACTCCGAGGGAAAGTGCCCTCAGAAGGTTTGGAAAGGCTGACAGATTGGGCTATTGCTTCACGCAATGACTCCAGCAATTGGAACAAATGGGCAACTAAAACAGCTGTGACAGAGCTCTTATGAAAGTGCGCCCAGCAGTACTTACAGTAATGGCACGTAAGTACCAAACCAGCCCGTACGTGTAAGAGTAACACGTCAGATTCTGCCTCTTTTTACTTATTCAGCTGGCTTATTCAAAGCAAACGACATTCGCACTATTTTTTACAGCCAGGTAATACAGGTTAAGTAAGTTCTTGCTCAACGGTACAACCATTTGAGCCCATAACCACCCATTTATAAATCCGAAGCCTTAACCACTATGCCACATCTTAGGCACCTTACACATCCAGTTCTTTTGCTCAGGCTTCAAAGTGTGAAAAACCTTGGGCACTATTTTCTGAAATGGGAAAGCGTGTGACGTTGTCTGGTGCTCTTACTCAACTAGAACAGGGCATCCCAACTTTTGGTTTTAGGTCTCTGTCCTGGATTCCACCATGTTTTTTTTTATTTTGAATGTGTAAACAGCAGTTTTATGTTTGACTACCCCAATGTCCAAAGCTGTTAAAGTTTTAAAGAGGTGTACAGTAGAACACCGTTGGGATTCAGGATATTGAGGGTTGGAGTTGGGATTTCCAGCTCTACAGCAATGATCCTCACTCCTGGCTTAACTGAGCCACGGGATCGTTTAATTTGCCTTCCTCTTCAGCTTTTAATGACTCCATTGAATCCTCTACTGACCTAATTGAACTTTGAGAAATCTGAGGGGCTGTGGCTCTCCAGGAGCAGAGGGCTGGTCGTTCCTGGTCTGGACTGTTACAATGATTTGAGAACGAAAAAATCTTCTATTTCCGAGGTGTTTGTCAATGGTTTTTTGATCAGGCACCGGCTCAGACGCTGGCTGCTGACTGGTCTTTGCAATGCATTGTGGGTCTTACCTTCTGGACGAGGCGAAGGAGAAGTGTGCTGGGGTGCTGGGGGAGAAGTTTCTGGGACTGTCCAGGGGGCTGCTTCCTGTAGGGAAACATGCAGTGGACAGGTTGTTATCAAGCCCCAGGCATCAGGTGTCATGGAAACAATGGCTGAGAGCTTAGGGAAAAGTGTTTTTTGATTAATGGGGGTTGCCATTTGGATACCAGGCTCTGCTACAGATTTGCTGCCATCCCATGTGAGCGACCGAACATCCGCATGGTCCATCCTTGAGCCTATGAGCTTCTGCTGCTCCTCTGTGTGATGAAGGCAGCTCTCCTGCCCCTGTCGGGATTCGACCCCAGTCACTGGTGGGATCAGAGCCTACACAGCACCGCTTCTTAGACAGCGGACAACTCTGTGATGCCAAAAGACTGGGTCCTCTACTGCCGGAGAATTCTACACAACACCAGTGACAAGCAGAGCACTGCTTTGCCCGCACCAGGATTCGATCACGGTCACTAGTGGGCCCAGAGACTCACACCGACACTCCGTAGACAGCAGGGGATTCTGCTGGACCACATGACTGGGTCTCCCACTGCAGCCGTGCTCTACACTGCTCAGATTTCACTCCTGTAACTGGCTCAGTGCACGGAGCCCTGTTAACATCCTCTCGGTGCTTATTCTCCTGCTATTCGCCGTGAACCGACCGGTACAGAACACAGCAGAAGGCATTGACAGATGGACATCCCGGCCACTCGCGAGCTCCATGCATGTCCTCTGCCACTCCCAAGATGGCACTCCCGAGAGCAGCTCTGCTCTGCCCGAGTTCAGATTCAGTCACAGCCTTTACAGGACCCAGAGACTCACAGTGCCATTTGCCACATGGCAGTGATGAGTGCAGCTCTGCACTCCCTTGCCAGGCTTCAGTCACTGTGGCTACCGGGCCCAGAGACTTGCAATACCACTCCCTAGACAGTGGCGATGAGCACAGCTCTGCTCTGCCAGGATTCAGTCATGGTCATTAACGAGCCCAGAGATCCACAACACCACTCCTTAGACAGTGGCGATGAGCACAGCTCTGCTCTGCCAGGATTCAGTCATGGTCACGAATGAGCCCGGAGATCCACAACACCACTCCCTAGACAGTGGCGATGAGCGCAGCTCTGCAAGCATTGCGCATTCATGGCCGAGGTAGGATTTCATTTCAAATAAACATTTTCAGGGGGTGTTTTAAAAATGTTGTCTTCCGTTCTCCCACGTATTATCTTGGCTTGGTGCTACATTTCCATTCTACTGTTATTAAACTCCCTCTCGCTCATCATCATAGTAGGTGCTATTTCCTGCTGAACAGACAGGTAATACGCCTGAAAACAGGGAGAGACCCAGGGTAGGCAGCCCTGGACAGACCCCCTCTGTGCGACGTGTGATGCTGCCCGGAGGTTTTATGTCATCACTGAGGCAGGGCCCCAGCACCATCCTCCATTTAACTGTGAGACCGAATGCCGAAACAGCTTCCTTTAAAAACCTGCAGAATGTCTGAATATCCGCTTCTCTTTAAGACATGGCCATGTTGTATTGTTATTACATAACAGGGCTGTGAAACAGACTTTTTATGCTCAGATGGAGCCTGGACTAGAGCTACAGGCTGTGGTTCAGTTCAGTCCTCCTCCAGAGTTTTGTACAAACAGCGCCTTAACCTTTTCATGGATGACCAGCTGGAGCAGCGTGACAGATATTGATTAAAATATTGCAGATGGACTTAACTGTAAGTGCTGCACAGTATTTCAGCCTTCGGAGCAGGCCTTGATTAAAGCACATCTAGAATATTACTCCTTTATTTAATGAGGTGCCTTAGATGTAAACACATCTCAAGGTCCTGTACAGAACATCTACAAATATCGTGCTAAGAAAAATAACACAGAAAATGGAAATAAAACAACACAAAAGAGAAAGGGTTGTGGTAGTCTGAAACAAGCTGCCCAGCTGCTGTTGAAGCCGACACCCTGGTGCCTTTCAAGAGGTGGGTGGATGAGATCCTGGGATCAATTAATTGTCAATGAATGGGCCGAGTGGCCTCTTCTCACTTGGAATTGTTCTTGTTCTTAAAAAAATAAAATGGGAAACGGTATTTAAAGTCAATGAATAAAGTTTGTTTTTTAGGCATGAGGTTTATCATATGGAATCACACTTCCTGGTGGAAGTAGGAGGACTGCCAGAGTCCCAAGAGCACAGCCCATGAGGTAGGGGGTAACATAAAGCTTGGAACACAGTGTAATTTTAATTGTGACTAAATTCTACAGGGAGCTGGGCCTAGATGCTAAACCTGGCATAAGAAGTCAGGTGCTTCACGCTAGCCAAACAACAAAAACAGAAACTTGTTTTTTTAGAAAAACTGGAAGCTTGCACTTGTTGCACCCCCCCTGCAGTCTCTCATTACTTGGTACTTACCAATGTGTCCAGGCAATGGTGAATGTGGGCGGGGCAACGTGGGGGAGGTGCTTGTCAGAATGAGGCTCTTCCTGTTACTGGTGCGGCAACTGCGAACACACAACACAAAAAAGACATGCTTTTTTAATAGTGCTAGCAAGCGGAGACAGGAAAGTGAGAGCTCTCTGAGTAAAGATTACCCCATTCATTATGGAGTCACATTTCCTCGTGTAGCTAGGAGGCATGCTCCAGTCTTGACACATTACTACAGCAGAAGTGATTTGCCTTCTAATGAGCTTTACTGAAGCTGTTCAAATTGTAGGCAAATAGGATCAATGATGCTTTGGGTTATTGTTTCAATAGAATTGACAGAATACTATTTAAGTGGACAACCAAAATAGATGGCATGTCAGTGGAATATTCCTATTTGTGATGCAGAAAAAGAAAATAAGATGCCACAAAAATGCATCCCACATCCTTTCTCCAGGCTTAGGGAGTCTTTCCAAAATGTATTTTGATGACTTCAGTCAGAGAGTAAATTTAGACACATGAAGAGGACACATATTGAAAAGGAAGATCACAGAAACAATGCTTTCTTCTGGGCTCAGTCCAAGGCTTTGGCATGACTTCCAGAATGGAGCGTCAGTGTGTGACCAGGCTCCCTGTGGCTTGTTCCTGACCTGGGTCTCTGTCTGCTGCGCCACAGAATACCCGAGTGAGCACAGGACAGGAGAGCCAGCTGACAGGAATACACAGACAATCGCAGATTCTGCTCTCTGCTTGCAAATAAAAACAAAGTCTTTGCCCATTTCGTGAGACAGTTCACTTACCAGCCATTGACCCACGTAAACCCCCAAACCCCAATAATTTACAGAGATCAGCCATAGATCTGCATGACTTTGCTGTCTAAGATCTACACCCCAGAACAAATGAGAGCATGCAGACTCCACCAACAGTGTTTATCCCCGACTTCAACCAAAGGCCCTTGAGCAGTGAAGCAGTAGCACTACTGAGCATGCATGGTTGCCATCCCAGTATTACTATAAATACATTCATCACTGAGGAACACTGATGTCTTTATTACTGATAATTCCTTACACTTATATAGTGCTCTTCTGGACTCTTTACAGGTAATGGGTACTCCCCTCCACCCTTCAACCCAACAAAACAGCATCAGACCTGTGGAGGATGCCAGGATGTGGATAACCAGGTTTAGTGTATAGTGATAGTGTATGTAAAGGGTTCTAGCATGCCTGTAGCATTACTGCTCTCAAGAATTGAAATTGGGTGTTGAATGGAGGGGGTAGGGAGGGCACATGAAGAAAAGGCTCCACAGGTCTCAGCTACTACTCAGAAGAGCGCACCAACATACCCAAATAGTCCAATAGGTTTAAATCAGGGGTGGCCAACCGTGGTCTGACAGAGCGACAGTCCAGCAGGTCTTGTAGGCCACCTTCAGTCTGTCAATTTCTAAATACTTGGAAAATCTGT